CTTGCTCATGCAGGGGAAGAATCAGCATAGTGACAACGGTCATCTTACCCAAAGCAATAGGCAGATTCAAGCTAATTCCTGTCAAAGTCTCCAGGTGTTTCTTTGAGGACTAGCGGGAACATTACTGAAACTCAGTTCAGCCACCAGTGCAAAGGCTGGAGCCCAGGGCCGAGCTCTGCTTGGCGCTTTCCTGCAAAGTTCCTGCTGGTGCGGGGGTGTGGCCAATCCCCACTGGCTGCCATCAGCTTCCCCTGCCTTCTGCAGAGCTCCATCTGCCAACGCCTTCCTCAAAAAGTGCACACACCCTGATAGCAATTCTATGGGGGTCCCCCCCCCCCAAAGGGCTGCTAAGCCAGGTTGGTCCAAATGCTTGACAGTAACTGATTTTTTTAAAAGATGTATTTATTGACGCACAGAACTGGTGAACAGGCCAGAGGTGCAGAAGCAGTGAGAGGCTTCCCCAGAGACAGAGCAGGGAGCAGAACAGGCCGATAGACGAAGTACACTGCTGAGGGGAGCAGCAGGTGGATCAAGAGAGGTCTGCTGGGCCATGTGGCTCACCGCCAGGGCAGGTGGGGATCCACCTCATGTGGAAGTGGCTGTAGCTTCTTAGTGCTGTGCTTTAACCCGCTGTGCCACCAGGGAGGACCAGTAACTAATATCTTTAAGCCTTTGCTGGAGATCTAAGAAGTTAGGAGAGTGAGAATCCTAGAATTGAGGAAATTGCCTGAGAACAAAGAAACAAGTGATTCCTCCCACCTGCACTCAGCGGCTCCCTGAGAGCTACTGGACCTGCCCCACACTCCAGAGCCGTCATTCTGCAGCAGAAGGAGACCACACACCTACTCCACAGAAACTTCCTTCCAGGGCACTGATTCTACAGTCACAGTTCCCTGAACTTGTCACCACATTGGCCTGAGCTCTTCAGGGCTTGAATACCAGGAAGGGGAGGGCCAGTCCTCATCTCAGTCTGGGCTGGGAAACTGAGGCCTCGAGTGAGCGATGTGCAGTGGAAGGACAGAGGTTGAGCGCAGAGGGCCTGCTCCAGGTGACCGCAGGCACTGCACAGGCAGTGGCATTGGGAGCCTGGAGCATCCTCCATGGGGACTGTTTGGCCCCTGCAGTAGATCTGCATCAGGCCTTGGCCACGGGGCAGGCCGCTGTACCTTGTACAGCACTGTCGTGCATATCTGACGCATCTAGACAGAAGCCCAGGGTGCCGCTGCACACACGTTTAGTTGAAAGGAAAGTGGTTTCCAATAGCAGACGCACTGTGAGGTTCAATATCAGCCAAGCAGAAACCCGTCAACACTGGCTGTGCCCGTGACTGTGCATGTGTGAGCAGAGAGACAAATGAGCCTCGCATGTGGGACACTAGTTCTCCCTCCTCAGCCAATGGAAGGGCATGCGCCCTGGAGGCAGCACCACAAGGATGAGGCCCGTGGTTCTAGTCACAGAGGCCGCTGTCACGGTCACGCCCACAGGCAAGACTCTGGACAATGTCAGGATACAAAGGCCTGTCTGAAAAGGGACAGGCCTGTCCTCATCTCTTGGTCTGGTCTCGGACTGTTCCAGGGATGCAGTAGAATGCAGAAGCTGGGCCCACGCCAGGAACCGGCTTGTGCAGGGGTGGGGCGGACTCCTCCCCGCAGGAAGAGCTGCCCCACGGAGCAGAGCCGAGACCAAGCACAGAGGCCACACGCACGCGTTGCTTCAGCAGACAACGGCTGTTTCCAGCACTTTTTATTGCCAGCGGCCCCCCTCACGCGGGGCGATCAGCACCGTCCGCGGGCCCGTCGGAAGGTGGGCGGTATGCGGGGAAACAACAGGGGTCCCAGCAGAGTGGACTCGGCGGATAAGGGACCACAGGCCTGGGGGCGGCAGGCCAAGCAGACATGATGGGCATGGAGCCCAGGGGGTGGCACCAAGTCAGCACGCTGGCCGTGGACAGCTGCGGGGTGGTCACCCCGAGGCCTCTGGAAGGTCCGCCCGCCAGGCTCGCCCCGGGCCAGTAAGGGTCGCTGCGGGGGTAGGGCGTGGTGAAGGGGACCAAGGGGCTCAGGTACGGAGGGGCGTCCTGTGCCCTGCGCGGGCCGGGGGGCCACAGGCCCACGGCAGCGATGGGACTGAAAGCGGGCTCGACCGGCCTCCCGGCAGC